CCCAAGAACCCAGCTCCTATCTTCACCCTGGAAATAGGTTCAGGGATCTAAGTCTTGAAAGTGTAACAAAGGGAGCTTAGTGACACTTGGTAGTCCTCGACTTATGACCAATTGCTTAGTGGCTGGTAAGAGCTGTGACAGATCTCTCTAGGGAAACCTACAACCTGGTTACGAAATTCTGACACACATACACATACCCCGGTAACTGCACTTTAGGTGCTTGACAAGTGGCCTTCGTTTATGACCATTTGCAATGTCCTATGGTCACATTTGATGACATTTTCGCCAAAAAAAACAAAACCCACCAGCATTTATTTGTAGTTTCCAGCAAAACCAACTGGTAACGAACGGTTGGTTTACTTTAACAACTGTCACAGAAAAGGTTGTTAAATCAGTCACATAGGCGATTTGCTTTACAGTTGTCATGAGTTATGACAGTAATGGGCCCAGCTCTATTATAGTTGTAAGATTGTAAGTCGAGGACTGCCTGTACTGATTGTGACGCAGAGACTTAATTCACAACATTGTGAAGCGTTATCAAATGTTGTTCTCCATTCACCGGAACAACTTTTATCCAGATTATAACAGAATCCTTATGTATCAACCCATCTCTCAAGTTCAGGCGTCCTTAATGTTGTGCAGTTTGTTGTGCAAGAACAAAAACGTTAGCTTTAAAACATCATTCCAGTCTGTTTCCCTGTCCTTGGGCTACCACCAGATGGCCCTCTTCCCTTTGAAATGCATCCACCAAATGCCAGGTTAAAGTAGTTTAGACCTAAAAGATTGATAATTGTATCAAGGAAAAAGAAATATTTACAAGTCTTCATGTTAGATTAGCCATAGAGCTGGGGCTGTTCTGTTCCTCCTTCCATATATTCTACAGTGTAAACAATGGCATGGCAAAGTAGTTCTGTTTTACTGTAGAGGAGAAATTGCCTAGCAAACTACAGTAGTGTGAGGCCTGTGCCTATTTTAAAAAGGATTCAGGACAAATGCTTTGGATTTCAGGTGAGCACAGCTCTCAATTATCCATGAAAGTCACTGGACTTCTTCCAGGCTGCCCACGGGCCTGAAGAAAATATTGCATCAGCAGCTGATGCTTTCAGTAGTTAATTCATTAAAGTTGACGTGGTTGTTAAAGTAGCCATGTTCTTTAAATCACTTTCACGTGCGGGCTTAAAGAAAATCAGGCTTTTTAAATAAATAGTAAGAATCTACTGTGTTTGCCTAAGGCTTGAAACCCTTCTTCCAAATTCTGGATCATTTTTGAAATATCCATCTAATAAATACTACCCATCTATACACCAAATCTCTGGATGTGCTCCTCTTTAGAATTAAAAAAGGCATTTTTTTTTTGGTCTTTTTTGGTGAGGTCATGGAATATTCTTTCAGTCCTGGAACTGTTAAGGAAAAGGTTCATCTATTTCTTTTCTAAAAAAAAAAAACCTGGATGCATGAGTAGCAGTTTCCTCCATGTAGAAATAGACTTGCAAAAATAATCTCCGGCTCTTGATGAAGTAGAAACCAGGGCTTCCATCTTCACAATCAGGGCCTGCGTTGCCAAGAGAAAAGTAAGGTTAGGAGAGACGAGACTGAGAAATGACATTGCATTTTCATTTGGGTCTGGAATGTCCTATAGCATACATTTCACTAAGAACATATCTTGCTTCAATGTCTTACGTGTCTTCTCTAGGAATCTGCTTTGTATGATTAGAATCCTTGCTTAGAATCCTTGCCACCTTGTTTCCTCTAAAAGCCTAGGGGTTACAACCTGGAAATAATTAGTTGCTCCCTACCCTCTGTTAAAGGAGAGAAGCCTTTTGAGTGTGACGTGTGTGACATGCGCTTCATCCAGAAGTACCATCTGGAGCGCCACAAACGTGTCCACAGTGGAGAGAAGCCATATCAATGTGAACGCTGCCTGCAGGTAAGGACTCTCCATTTGTCTTCCACATTTAGAGTGGGAATCTTGCCAGACGTGTGTATTAAGACTTCGCATCGGCATAGAAAGAGCAGTGCGGCCTGTATGCAGAACTAGACCATCGTTGGTCTGCTTCTCGGATGCATTTGCCAGAACCCCTTCAACGTTGACCCAAGCCCTTGACTGGCTTGTGCAACTGTAAGTTGTGTCCCTCTGGATTACTCCTACTACCCATCCCCTTCCCTTCTGGAAAACAGGCCCATGTTCATGGCTGCAAGCCCATCTCCTTCTCCTCTACCCCCTTGCATGGCCAGTCCCCTTCACTGTCCTGGTGGAGTCACAATAGTCCGATCCCTGGCCCCCTCGTCGGCCTTGTTTCTTTGAGCTACTGCTGCCAAAGGTCACCTCTGCATCTTTGCCCCAGTGTTTACCACTATTTTTCATTCTGGCCAAAATGTCCATGACTCCTCCATTCCCTTGTGCTTCTTCTTCTTTTCTTCTGGATAGCCTTTTCCGAGGTCAGTAAAATGAGGACCCAGATTGTTGGGGGCAATAGGCTGATTCTGTAAACCGCTTAGAGAGGGCTGTAAAGCACCATGAAGTGGTATATAAGTCTAAGTGCTATTGCTATTGCTACCATGTTTCCCGGAAAATAAGACTCGGTTTTATTTTCTTTGGGGCCCCAAAATAAATAAATAAATAAGCACCAGGTCTTATTTTCAGGGGATGTCTTACTTGCTTACCTAAAAAACACCGCAGCCAGGCCTTGCACGCCCCGACACCTGTCATGCTGCTACCCAACTTTGTCTGCAGCCAGACAGCATGTGGCGCATTGCATTAGTGCCACTGCTCACCTGGCCTCCTGTCACAAGTGATTTAATTTCTTACAACTTACTTATTCCCACTTTTAAAATCAGTTAACTAATCAGTAATTGTTAATAAAGTTTAATTTAAATAATGGCCCATCTTTGTTGTTCAATCCGTACTCTTCTTCTAAAGCATTGCCCTGGACAGTGCACTCAAAGGGCTCGCTAACCCATCTGATATTACACACACTTCCCCACACATGGTTAAGGAAATTCTGTCAGCCGTGGATTTTTTTTTTTAATAAAGTTTTATTTGGGTTTTCACACACAAAATACAAGTAAAACATCTTTTTTGAAAATAGCATGGTCCCAGGTTGAATTTCTTTATACAGATGCAAAACTCAATTTCATGCTCCTTTTTGTATTCTATTCCATATCTTATACTATTTTACATTTTCTATATAGTTTTTCCCCTCTTTTAATTTTCTCTATTTTATTTTGATTATCTCATCTAGATGGGATAATTCAAATCATTATATTTGTACTTTTGTCTGTTCTGTTTCAATTTCATATTATCTTTTCTCATTAAACAAATTTTCTCCTGTAGTTACAAATTGGAGTATGACACCTTTATATCTTTTAATTACATCCATTCAACTCTTATTTAAACTTCAATATATACCTTAAGTTTATGACCTTCAATATAATACATAACACATAACTTTCAATCGAATTCTGCTTGGTACATTCTTATAATACACAGTATATTCTTTTTTTAAAAAAGAAAGATTGTAAATATATGTAATTATAAACCCTCATTCCATTCCAGTTCAGTTCCATCATTAATAATCATTAAAATCTTAACATCTTTAACACTTCTTTTCAATTAAATATCATACTTCCTTAAAAACACATAGAATCTCCATAATTAATTTTTCCCTTATTTCTTTTCACATGTTTTATAAATCATTAAATATACCTTTTGTTACATTTATTTATTTACAAGCATTCCACTCAATTGCGATAGCTATTTTATCAGACATTTTAATCATACATTGTTTCATATTTTGTAAAATTATTTCTGCTTCTAATATAACCATACTATCTTATGTACCTTTGTACCATTAAGTTTTCACCCATTATCTCTAAATAGGTCCAGTTTCTCTATATTTTGCTTCTGTCCTTTATAACTTCTTTTCCTTTCTTTCTTCCCTCTCATCTTCTCCCTCCCCTTTTTACCCCCTTGTCTCTCTAGTTCTAATTCTCTCTTCTGTATTTCCCTCTTCTGTTGCTTTCTGATTTTATACTTATTTTTCACTCTATTTTTTTGGAGTTGTTTTTCCCAACCTTAAACTTTCCATTCTCTTTCCCCCCTTTCCTTTTTTCCCCCCATCTAAGATTACTTGTTCATTAAAGGTGGCTTCTTTGTCGCAATCTTCTTGTTCTGCAGGCATTTCTTGTTGTTTCTCATAATTCCAAATCTCCATTTCTAAAAACTGAAATACGAAGCCAAAAGAACCTCTCCCTTCTTGTGCATCTTCTTTGTACTTTTTAAGTTCCATTTTCAGTTCTTCTAAAAGTGGAGCCATTTTAAATAGTTTTAAACAACTACCCGATTGATTTTAGCATTCAAAACAATAACCAAGAATCCAGAAATCATCAAGTAATCCAGATAGTCCCAAGTTATATCTTCTTTTTTTTTTTTGACTTTCTCTTCCTGGGGTTTTTGTTGCGATATTTCAGTTAGAATGGATCTTTTGGAAGTCTTGTTGAGATTTTGCTGTAAGTTCTTTTTTAATTCCAGGCACTCTCCTCTCTTCCAGATCCTACCCTTATATTCTTTTTCTCTCCTTTCCTGTTTTCAAAAGCTTTTAACTATCCAGAAATCTTTATTATCCCCTTGACTTTTTATTTCCAGCATTAAATGCCTATTGATGTCAAAGTGGATTTTTTTCCAATTTCTTGCTTAAGTCTCTTAGCTGTCAGTATAGGAAAAGGAGAAAACCAAATCTTTTCCCTTTTCTCTCTCCTTCGCAGCTTAAAAATCTTCTAAGGGAACAATGCTATTGTTTTTTAACAGTTTCAATTCCAGGGTACCTTATTTGTTGCTTTTGCTGTTTGACCCGGTCAACCAAAACTTTCTCTTCTTATCTTCCTCCTGCACATTCTTTTCCGGTCGAGTTCTTCTTTGTGGTGGCCATTTCTGACCACCACTGCAACCGCCTTCAGGAAAGGGAGTAATGGCCAGCTGGGGAGGAGAGATGTGGCTCTCCTCAACCCTGCTGGCAGTCTCCCCCCTCTTCACCACCTCTACGGGGTGGCTTAGCCCCAAAACCAGCCGGCTCGGGGCGCTCCAGCAGTGGGCACGGATCGAAGCCTCGCAGAGACGAGGTTTCAGTCTGTCGCTGAAGAAGCTCAAACCAGAAGCCCTGTCAGCCGTGGATTTTATTGTCATTCCATAATTGTGATCTGGCATTCCTAAAGAAGGTCCAGAATTTCCTGCAGGAGTTTGAACTAGCCAGCCAGTTCATTTTTAGTTAGTTACTTAATTAGGCCAGCCATTTTAGTTTTATGTCTGTGCAAAACTGAAAGGAAAACTACAAAATCCTGCATTTTAGTTGAGGTTCAGCTTTCTTTTTTTTATCCTTTAGAAAGTTCGTGTGGAGCACAGATTATTCCCTCTTCTAACTTTTTCCCGAGGGATAACTCTATGAGAGATAGAGAAAGTATAACTCCTTCACAGTGAGGTTCCCTGACAGAAGGAGGGTTCGTCCCAGGATCTTCCTATTTCCAGTCACAAAGGCCCACGATTCCATGTTCGGTTTTCAACTGCACTGACCTAGAATGCAGGGTTTTTGGTTTTGCATAGAGCAGGGCTGAGAAAACGATGGCCCTTTAATTACTTGTGGACTTCCTACTGACTCAGGAATTCTGGGACTTGAAGTCCACAAGTCATAAAGAGGCCATTGTTTTCCCCACCTCTGGCACAGAACCTTGTCTTTTTGGTCATCACTCTGGATTTTGTTTTTCTCTCTTTTCCCTTTCACAGAGCTTCTCCAGGACAGACCGGTTGCTGAGACACAAACGAATGTGCCAGGGCTGCCCCAGCAAAGCATCTGACTCCCAGCTACTGCTTTAGGGTTGGGCCAGAGAAGAGGCTTTTTAAGAAGTTGCTGGGAAGTCCACCAGATGCTCTGGGAGTGGGCTTGTTCCCCTGCTTGTATTTTGTGCCCGAGTTTGCCTGCTGAGCCTACTCCTGTGGAAGGGGCAGAGCTGAGCAGGCACAGACTTGAACTGTGGTCTTGACACTGTAAATACATGGAGGACAAAGCAGGGCTGGCTTCCAGCCATTGGGAAGCTCACTGCAGTTGTGGATAAACATTGCCGGGGTGCGCTTTCTGTTTCTGTTTAGGGTTTTTTGTTTTTTGGGGTTTTTTTTGAAATTATCACCATTTGCCTCAGGAAAGGCTTTGAAAGCATTGCTGGGCCTTCTTGCGAGCCATTCCGACCAGATCCGGTGCTCTCAATTAACAGATGACCTGCCAGCTGGCCTGATATTTGGGCTTGCAAAAAAAAAAAGTGGGAAAACAACAGGCAAATATTTTATGAGAAACAGTGATCACTACCAGTCAAGCAGTGAACTATTTTGCTGGAGCTGATCCACATCAGGGACGGCAGGATACCGAGACCTGGGGATCACAGGAATCTGTCTCATTGACGTTAGGCCACAAGGCCTACTGGACTTTTCCCCTTCCCCCTTTCCGTGCTATTCTCTTCAACAGTGATTTGTGGTCTCGGCTTTCAGGTTTCAAGAAACAAGGGCTGCAGAAGGTGACAAATGCTGTTGGGTCAACATAGAAGTCTACCTTAGATGTGTTCCATTTATCAAGATCCAGTTGATATTCAGCTGGCTGGAAGGCTCTGTTTTCCTCCCAGGAGGGGAGGATACTTGCGTGTGGTCCCTTTGCCTTCCCTTGTAAATAGTCATCTGTTCAGAACCTACCTGTTACATACCCCTTCCCCGCAGAATCCAGAGGTTTCTTGGGTGGCAATTCTGTTTTCCTAAATAAGTGAAAAGCCAGCTCCGGCCCACGGGCACCTATCTCCTCGCTGAAGAACTGCAGTCTCTGTGGGGGAGAATGGGGAGCGGCACTCTGGCCTTCTTGATGTGGCTCTTGGAATAAAATACTCAAGGACTAAAGGTCAGCATTCCCATGCACCATGAATTCGGATTGCTCCTGGGCTGCTTCGTTGAAGTTTGAAAATAAGGCTTGTTGTCAATATGCAAATTTTTATGTGTGCTATTTTTTTCAGCTTAGTTGCAACAGGCAGCGGCAAGTTTGCAAGGGAAGCCAGGAACCCTTCTAAGTCTCTCATCCCACACCATTTACAATGGCCTTTCTAGAGGGCAAGTAATAATTTGTCACCGAGACTAGAATTTACTTGTTAGGAACAAGCACCTCCATCTGAATGATAGATACAGATCTCATACGTGCTTCAAATACATCCCTCCCTGAGTTAACTTCTAAGTTTGCCATAAGCACCTTGCTTTAAGCCAGGTTTTAATCAAGGGCTGTGTTGATAGGGAAACGGTAGTCTTTGTTTGGCCATCCTTGAGAGGCTGCATTTCTGCCTATGCAACTAGAAAGGTTTATAAACAAAGATGGGATACCTTAGGTGAGCGTTTTTCAAACTGAACAACTTTAAAAGGTGTGAGTTTCTTAACTCCCAGATGTGTGGCTGGGAAATTCTGGGAGCTGATCTTAAAAATTACCAAATTTGAAAAATCACTGCTTCAGTTCAAGATTGTTGTCTCCACACACCCTTCCCCCTTCAACCATTTAAGACAGGGCTGTCAAAAGTCATCACGGCAGTGTCACGTGATGTATCTGTACTTTTTTCCTCTTTGCTATACCGGATGTATGCGTGGCCGGCATGTTAAACATCCGGCCCCTGGGCCAGGAGTTTGACCACCCTGATTTAAGAGATGCCAGTGTATTAGTAATAGGCATTGTTCTTTTGATCACCTTTCTTCTAGGGATCATGGCAGTTGTAGTCCCAACAAATCTGGAGTACATTAGCTTGGGGAGTGTTACTGTAGAGGAGATCATATTTTATTTTATAAAATATTTTTTATTTTATTCATAGGAAGACCCAAGATTATTCCCAGCCTTGTTACATTTCTAAAATTAACACCAACGTCTAGTCTGCAGTTTATAGGAACGATTAGGACATCCCAAACTCTAGGAGGTTTGTTGCAATTTTGGTGGGGCTGATAAAAATTAAAATGGTTGCTCCTTAGAAAGAACACACTGCCATAATGTTTCTCAGTTTACCAAGGACTGTTTCCCTCCCAAAAGGAAATAAAATAATTGCTGTAAGAAAAAGCTTGATGAAATGCAGATATTGGGGAGGAGAAGGAAATTGGAATGTAACTGTTTCAGGGGGAAGTAGCAATGTGCTCAGGTGAGAGAAAAAACCTTGCTTGAATAGGGGGAATCTCTTTATCAAGTACTAGATGTTTTTCTGTCCTTCCAGTCTTAATCTAATAATTGAGACTTGGCATTATAGAGCATATTCACAGTTGCCTAGTGTTTCCCCAAGAGGTCAGGTGAATCTCTTGAGTGAACTGCCTCCCAGTGCCGGATCCTTTACGTGCCAAGCAGAGTAATGACTCTGCTGTTTTGATTCCTCTAAACTTTATATAGAGTCTAAAGCATGTGCAGCTTTAAAAGCACAGGGATGTGTTTTGCTTAGGCTCTGCGTCTTGCTAGGGTGCTGCCATAGAAACTTGGGAGGCTGATTAACACTTTACCCTGGGAAAAGAATTCTATAAGCTGCTGCACACTGCATACCAGCTCAATCATTTACCAATAATCTGGATAGGCATTAATTGGCATCTGCCAATTTTGATGTCCAGTTCTTTTTTCCTGCTCAGGAGTAAAGGAAGAAGAATGTTAACCTCAAAAACAAGTTGCATGTGACTTTCATTGCTGAATTTTGCTCAGAAGTGGACTACAGCATAGCGTTGAAAGAACAGAATGGGGGAGAAGGCAGAAAGAGCAACTATAACAATTCAGTGAGTAATTTTAATAATTGGACAAAATAATAGGGTTCAAGTATTTTGTTGTTAAATAATCGTCTGCAGACAGTAAGTTAGCAAAATGGGGAAAATAGTTTTCTGTGGGAGGAGGTTTTATTTAAACAAATAGCTTGACCCACCCCAATGAAATTGATAGCATCTATTAATTGATACTGGTTCATCCTGACTAGAAATGTTATGCACGTGGGTATAATTGCACTAAGATCTTTGCTTTTTTTATTCCCTACGGAGATGATATTGAAAGGAAGTGAAACTTGTCTGGACGTTTCACTGATTGCCACTCTTTAAAGTGCAAGGGACCAAAACCATTTCAGAATGAAATTTGTTTTGTTCAAATGAAATTATACAGAGGTAGTGAGGTGAAAAGAGAACTCATTTGTTGAAAGTTCAAGAAAGTGAGAGTTAGCTTTTAGATAAAAACAATGTCCTGTTTTAAAATATTCAGTACCAGAACAATAGATGGAATTGCTTTGACATGATTTCAGCAAAGAGTTGGATGAATTGGATGGCTTGACAATTTGAGGTAGCAGCAGATTGGAAAATGGGTTTTGCATAAACATGGAAGTATGCTTCCTTTGCAGGAATATAGAGACACACAATTTTACCAACACTGTCTATGATAATGTCTCTCCTGGAGATAGAGAAGCCAGTCTTTACAAAGTATGTGCAACAATTTCCTGTATCTTTGTCTAACTTCAATATGTTGCTTTATATATGCGACCCACAGGAGGTATGCAAGTCCAGACCTCTGTAATTGACAGATACTGTCTTGTGTGCATACAACATGGTAGTGTATGCAAGCCAACCTGTGTGAAAGTCAGGTGGACTGGAATCTTTGTGTACCCTGAGGAATGCCTGTATTTGGGTTGCCCCAAAGTGCAGCCAGGGGCACATTTTTGAAGGAGCTTTATTTCCCCGTGTCCTCCATCTTACTTCCTTTCCTCCGTGGAAGTGAGAAATCCCATTTTGACAATGGATGCCATTGGGAGCTGTTGCTGTTCCCATTCTTTTTCCTGGGTGCTGGTAGCAGAAGGACAAATCGTACTTGTCGCATGGATCAGGTGCCTTAAGGTGCTTTCCGATGTGCTGCTGCTGGTCTTAATTTAGGAGTTTGTTCAAATAGGAAGAAAATGTAAAGGATCTTTTCTTGCAGTTCATATTTGGCTTTTACATAGGCCTCCTGAAAGGAAAACAATCTAGCACTTCAGCCTGACCAGATAGCCTCTGGACTTAATGTGAAGGTCCGATAGCTTTTTCTAAGATAATTTATTTTCCTTCCCTTTAACTCACTGATTTTGCAGGGAAGGGAATTGGGGCAGGGGTGTGTTACCCAAGGACAGGATCACTTTTAAATTGTAGTTTTTATAAGATGCTATAAACTTGTATCTTTTTACCATTACAGTGTGGCGTCTTTTTCTTTTTGTGTGTCTGCGTTCTATTTCAATAATTGGAATAAACTCAGCTTGCTTTCCCTCCCAAACCTTAGCTTCACTGCTTCTCCGTACCATTAGCTTGGGTGTTGCATCTTCTTTGACCAGTTTGTTTTATTCTGCCACATACTTCCATGAAGGCTCTGCAGTGGAACACAGGCACAGAGAAGATGGCACAATACTGTCTTGACTAGATTCGAATGATCTTTTAGTTTTCTGAAGTTGCATTCCAGTGGTGGACTAGGTTATAGCCAGAGTGGTAGGGATGACTCTAAAGATAATTAAGTTGCTAGTCCATACTGACCATAGCTCTGTCAATAGCTGTCTGGGCTTTCAGGTAGAAATCTCTCGAATTTAAATCTAGGAGAATATGCCTTCCTAATAAAAGAAGAAGAAGAAGAAATACACTTATCAGGTTCATGTTACCGTATGTGTAGCAGCTTGCAATGATAGCTGCTCAGAATATCGCTGTAGGTGTACTGTGGGGAAGAGGTATGTTTTATGTTGACTATGCCCAGATCAGTGGTTATGCTGGAAGCTAAATGTCTGGTTCCTAAACTTCCAGGTTAATGGTTCCAGAAATATACAATTTCCAACCTTGGGCATATTGGTGGAGTACAGAAACTTTAAACCACCTAACTTCATTGGAAGGAAGGGGGGTCTGCTCCTGTTAGACCATTTCACTTTGGCTGAATTACTGCCGTCTGTCTGCCATTAAGTCATCACTAAATTAGTCCAGTGTGAAATTGGATTGCCAGAAGAATACAAGGAGAAACCCAATGCTAAAAGATGCAGCTTTGACAGGGCTATGTGAATCTGAAGGGACATTGGCTATTGTGTCCATCCTTCAGGGATACAACAACAGAATGGGTGGAGGACAAGATTGATTGTGAGCCCAAAGCTTGAAAAAAATCCTGTTTTATTTACTTTTTTATTAGATATTTTTTCCCTGCCTTTTATTTATAGGTGGTGAACATAGCTAATACTTCTCCCTATGTTCCTCATAACACCAACTCTCTGAGGTAGGTTGAGCTGAAAGGGAGTGACTGCTCCAAAGTCATCCAGCTGGTTTTTATGCCTAAGGCAGGGCTAGAACTCAGAGTCTCCTGGTTTCTAGGCCAACACCTTCACCACTACACCAACAAGCTCTCTGTGACTATCCCTATCCCTATGGCTTCATCTCAACGTAGCAGTGTTTTGCGGCTATTGTGAACACCACCAATAGGGCCAAGAACGACTTAAAAATATTTTATCTATGGGCTAGAGGTGAAATTAAAGCCACACCACAGAACCCATCAGAAAGATCTTTCTAGGGCAAGTTTGTGTCATGGGTAGATGCAAGTGAGGAATGACCCTTATTAACAGTACTGGGGTTAGTGGCACCCAGTACAATACAATCAGTATGGATGAACCATTTAGAGGAGGTTTATCAGAAAGTGAGGCATATACAAGAGATGTGAGGTTTTGCTCAAGGTGAATATAAATTTTATGCATAATGTTGAAAAACAGCTGCAGCATTTCAGGGCCCTGTTGGATATGCTACGTTTTTCCAAGCACAAAACACATGATGTTAACTAAAAGCACAGTACAATAAAGGTTTTATTGGTTGACCACTTTGAGATTTTGCTGCCCATGTTGGTTCATTGTTTCAAACCCACTTGAGATTAGCTGGTGATGTAGGTCGAACTACATCTAGGACTTGCTGTAGAAAATTCTCAATGCAGGTGTCTCTCCTTCAAATTCATACATCATCTTCAGTTGCTGGCACAGTGCTGTCAAGTTGTGTTTGGAATGTTTTCATAACCATTGTACTGGGGGTTGATGACTGTTGTGGTAATAATAAAAAGGAGCAATTAGAGAACACCCACAGAACCATCAATAACATTTTTAAAGGAATCCAGTTTACTAGAGAAGATGAAAACAACCCCCTACCCTTCCTGGACATCCTGATCTACAAAGACCACAAAGGCAAACAAAACGCAAATCTACGGAAAAACCACCCATACTAACCAGGTACTCCACTACCAAAGAAACAAACTAACCTCCCACAGGAGAAGCTGTGTAAGGACTTTATTTAAATGAGCCCAAACACGCTGCATCAACCCAGAACAGCAGAAAAAAGAAATGCAGTATCTATGTAACACATTCCAATAAAATGGATACCCACCCAACTTTATTGACTAGTCCCCGACCACTCAGTCCCCAACCACTCAATCGAATACAACAACACAAACCCTTAAAAAAATTACACTGCTATACATCAAGAATATCTCAGAAGCCACAAATACACTACAACAACCACATGGAATCAGCATAACATACAAGCCAGCTAAAGCCCTTCAAAACATCCTAAGCAAACCAAGAGATCCAGCAACCCCAGAATCAAAAACGAGTCGTCTACAACACACAATGTAAGAATTGCAACAACCACTATTAGGACAAACAGGCAGAATACTGGCAGGATGCATCCATGAACATCAACTGGCAGTCACAAGACATGACGGAAATTCTTTAATTTCATAACATATAGACAGATTTAACCATAGCTTCAACTGGGAATATGTGATAATCCTAGACCAGGCCTAACCCCAAAATGCAAGGGAATTTCTAGAAGCCTGGCAGTGTGCCAAATCAGCCATCACTAGACACATAGGCATTAACAATGTCTATAGAGTATGCAAAGGAGACAACCAGCCCAAAAGAGAAAAAGACTCCAGCACCTCTCCACCAGTAATCTGTACTCGCATCAGCATAGATTAACTCCAAGGTCAACTTCAGACCAACAAATAATCAAGAAACTGCCAAAGAACCATCAGTAAACAGCCCAACCAAAGAATCCCTAAGACTGTCTCCACCCACACTGACAGGCAAGACATCAGAATATAAACTGACAGCTAACAACACTCCTTACTAGCACTGATGATGTTACCTAGTCAGGGCAATGAAACATCTGCAAGAAAACAAGCAAGCTCAGCACCAAGGACCCCTCATGTCAACCCTGAGCTACAAATATTCTTTATTGGTGACTCTTGTGGTGGCACTCTTGAACTTGTTCGCCTGGAAAAAGAAATCATAAGATCAGGGCAAAGTGCAAATACTGAATTTGTACCTCAAGTCAGCAGGAAGCTCCTCCATCTGCAAGTGGGGTCATGTTTGAAAAGGCCCATTCCCTACTACCCCAGAAATCAATCTGAAGCTATCTCTGAAAGGATTCATACATTTTTATGCTATTTTGGTGTGACACACTGATGCACTGCCTCCGAGTAACCATCAGAGCGAGATTGCTGCAATTGACATCAGCTTGAAAGTCTGTGTGCTTTTGCGCAAAAGATCTTGATAATTTGGGCTTGAATTGCATTAAAAGGCCTTGAGGCACCCAAGCTAAATTTATCTCAGATAGACTCAGTTGCTTTGTTGAAGCTATGGCCATCCATGTAAAGCTGAGTGGAGCTTGGGGCCCTAAGTCCTGATTGTACAAATGAGCAGAGGAAAACTACAGTCCAACCTTCAGGAGGATGCCAAACTGCTCAAATCCTCAATGGTAAGTAGAAGAACAGCACTGCTCAGCATGTGTTGAGGTAATTCCCCATTAGGAGAATGAGCGCATACAGGGAGATGTATTTGAGAGTTGTGTTTGAATAATACACACACAGCACACAGATACACTGTACAGTAAATGTAGGTTTTTATTTCCAGAAAGGTTTAAGCAAAGTTCAAAATAAGCAGTCCAAAATCATTCACAGATAAATCAGTCAGTTTTTCAATCCAGGGATAATCCAATAACAAATTCCAGTGTCAAAAACAGTTCAGTATCAGACTCACATCAAATCAAGAATAACAGTCAATTAGGAAAAATGGAGCAACGGCAATACTTTCCAACAGAAGGAAACAGAGATACACTCACACTCTCTTCTGAGACTCAGACTAAACAACCCAGGTTTCTGGCTCCATCCTATGGCCTTTTGAGAAACCACACCTAATTACAGTTTTGCATTTTCTTAAAGATACAGTTTTAAAATGTTTATCCTGGTTTATATATTTCTAAACCAAATAGCTGTTAGGTGACTCATATTCCTAACAGCATGTACGGTTAAGAACAAGCAACAAAATGCCTCTCGTATGCTTGTAGCATATGAAATCATGCCGCCTCCAGTCCACGGAAAAACCTCTCTCCATGGAATTAGTCCCTGGTGCCCAAATCGGTTGGGGGCCGCTGCCCTATACCATTTCAGACAAGGGGCTGTCCAGTCTCTTTTTAAAAACCTCCAGTGTTGAAGCACCCACAACTTCTGAAAGCAAACTCTCCCACTGGTTATATGCAATGTACGAATAACATGCATGTTTTACATTTTCCAGGAGGAAGAGCTCTGTCCTTCGGATTTTCTGCAGGTGTTTCCCAAGGTGCAAAGCCTACCGGTGGGTCAGGTTTACCCCTCAGCACAGCCTTACAAGTTGAAAATTTTTCGAAGGGCACTGACCTGAGATCACAGGGCATTTCTTCGTTCTCTTTCAAGGTGTCTGAAATTCCACCAGTCACAGATCTCCACAATGGCTCGGAGCGGGAAAATGAGAGCCACCCCTATGATCACCACAATCCCCGCACTCATTAACACTGGCATCAGATTCGGCTGTCTGGTAGAATCTGGCACTGCCAGAACAAAGAAAAGAAGCATGGGGGTTAACCTAAGTTGCCAACACTCCCACCAGGAATTGGAGAAGCTACTTTCCATTCCTTTGCTATTTCCTCCCTTTTCTCTCTCTCCCATTGTAGCCATGTATCCTGTGCCTTGCTATGTAGCATCCATGCTCATCTTCCCATAGTAGGGCTTCCAAATAGCTTCTTCCTTGTACCAAGGTTAAATGTTATTTCTTCTGCAGACTAAGGATATTGATTTGTTTTGCTTATACTTGCCTACAGAGCTAGGCTTGTCAAATAATTGATGGGGATTTGCTGGAGACTCTGTTTTTCAGGGGTGAAGTTCTGCCACCACTGTTTCTGCTGTAATGCTCTGCTCCCCAAAGAGCAACACTGGGAAGCTGTCATGTCAGCTAATGACATTTCTCTAGTATTATTAAATGTCATTCTTTACAGAATAGAAGGGCATGAGGAGGCGGGGGGAGAGAGCAGCCATTTTGAAGAGACAGCCATTTTCATTTTGGTAGCAAGAATTATGTGCTGGATTCACTCACTGCACTAAGTGCAATATGCTTAAATGTGATAGCTGGTCAACCAAAGATCTGCTAGAGCTAACCAAAAATAGAACCAAAAGCTTTGTACGATATTTAAACCCAGCCATTGTCGTCCTCCATCTTTGTGTATAATTTCTAGCAGTTTGCATCTAACTCCAGATGATTTGAGGTAAGGGAGGAGGAACAGTATCTCCTCATAGTTCAAAGATAGTAAGATGAATACTGCAGAAATTTGTACATGTCAGCTGCCATCTAGAGCCAGTACTTATGCAAAAAAAAACCACCCTTGTTTTTTGCCTAGATTGAATCTTACAGATCCCATCTATCAAGGGGCAAATGATGTATGAAAGCATACCGATTAGATTTACATATCACACTAAGACATAACATGAATTACATATCTACTGCAATGGGAAAATCCAGTGAGTTGTGGTTTATTCAGCAAAGCATGGTTAGAGAGCAGTTGATTTAGACATTCGATTCTGCCAGAGCTCCTTACGGTGATGTACGCAGATTCCCTTTCCTGCTATAGCATCACAGGCTGCCTAGCATATAAATAGATCCTGAGTCTGGATCCCACCAGAAACCCAATACCTACCTACCTTCTTTCCTCCCTCCCCCCCCCCTCCTTCCCATTCCCAGCATATCTAATTGATGGTCTCTGGGAAATCCCAACAGAACAGAAGACAGAAGAATAATATCACAAGCTCACACTTCTTCCCCTGACAACTCACCCTTTGGATCATTCACCGTAAGGAGGATGCTGCCTGTCTTGTCCTCCTCAATGAGGTAAATGAGGAGGTGTCCATCTCCTCTCTTCACCTGGCACCATCTCTCATCCACAGGTGCCACCAACATTCTCACCGTTTGGCTGCAGGAATTGCTACAGTTCTGACTTAGCGGTCCAGTTCCAAAAGCCTTGCACTCCGCACAGTCCCTATCAACAGATGTGTTGTTTTTAAAACTGGGCACTTTTATTTACCCTTGCTTAGCATAAAGAATGCCCCCCCCCCACACCCAGACACCCCCCCCCCAAAATGCTAGCACCAATGGAAAACTGTTTGATCACCTGGGCAACTAAATGTGGTTCAACTAGTTGGTGATGGGAAGGTGGGGGGGAGATTTTTTCTCTCACATCACAATACATTGATTGGTTTTGTTTATGAAATAAAGAGGCCAATGTTGCTTGATTTGTCCACCCAGATTAGATTCCTTTTCTATATTGTGAATCCCTACTAATATTCAGTGGCAAAAATGAGCACGTGTTCTGAAGTGGTTTTATAATTTGATTTGCCTGAAGTTGTAAACTGTGAGTGAGACCATCTATAAGTCTGAGGATACACAAGCATATATGCAAACCTAAAAGGGGCAGATTTTTAGCTCACATAATAACAATTTGGAACAATACAATATGATCACACAGAAAAAGTTCCTTCTGTAGTGAAGCTCTAATGTTCCAATTTGCTTATTAAAAGGGGTGAGAGCTACTAATATAAACAGAAATACAAGCTGATAGTGTCATGAAGGTACAATTTGTTTAGTGACCAAGTTACAATGACACTGAAAAAAGTGACTTACAACCATCTACTCTGCACACTTACTAGCACTGCAGCATCCGCACAATTACATAACCAAAATGTGAGCACTTTGCAACCGGCATGTGTTTATGATGGTTGCATGGCTCTAGGATCATGTGGTTGCCATTTCTGCTGGTCCAACAAGCAAAGACAATGGGGGAAGCCAGATTTGCTTAACAACTGCATAATCCACTTAAAAGCTGTAGTAATTTTCTTAACAACCATGGCAAAAACAGATTATAAAAATCAGGTGCGACTCAGTTAAATAACTACCTTGCTTAGCAATGGAAATTAATAGAATAGAAATAGAAATAATACATTAATAGAAGAGAGAATAATGGAACGGAATGGAGTGGAGTGGAATGGCATAGAATAAGGATGGGGATGGAATGGAATGGAATCGAATGGGGTTGTGGTTGTGGTTATAAGTCCAGAGCTACCTGTAGTAGCACAGTGAAGCCCAGTGAAATCTTCCTAAAGCTGGCATCTTCTGAAAATGCCAGGACTGCAGTTCTTAATGTTGTCAATGGGCTGGCTAGGAATATAAAAACTCACGGAGCCTTCCAGTTACTTGCTAATGTCCCCGTCTGTCACTTAAAATGTGATGGCAACCTTGGGTGATACTCTAGAGACTCTGCAATTCAGTAGATAGAATAGAATTCTTTATTGCCAAGTGTGATTGGACACACAAGGAATTTGTCTTTGGTGCATATGCTCTCAATGCACGCAGACAATTCATAATTTAGACAATCCCAGCAATTCAGCATTTGCAACCCTGTTTTAAGCTATCCCAAGTTTCTGGTCTGCTTGCTTCACTGATGCCCACCGTATTCCAACTAAATGGAAGCATTTAGGATGCCAACTTGCTCAAGCAAACTTGCATTGAATGTATCCAGTGCTCCTGTGCAGTATTGATGAACAATGGAAAAGTGCAATGTCATTGGCATGAAACCCAGTCAAAGTACATGGTAATTGGTTCTCTCTTTGACTTAATCAGGGCAGTGACTGACAATGAGCTTTGCTCAATGAAGCCCCCCTGCTTAAAAGGAACCATGAACAAGCAGCCAGTCTTTTCCCTCTGTGCATTGGCTTCCTCTCCTCAGCCTCACCTGTGCACTTCACAGGGCATCTGGTGGTCAACACAGTGGCTGCCCAACCACCCAACGTCACACTGACATCGGTTGCAGATGCAGTGGCCATGCCCATTGCAGATCTTGCCCTCTTGGGTGCATCCACTGGTATCCAGGCTGCACTCACATGCATTGCCAGTGTAATTGGCCAGGCATTGGCAATGACCACACCTGCACTGCCCGTTACCTGTTGGCAGAAGGAGACAAGCACCATAATGAAGTTCTTTCTGTCATGGGGAAAATGCCCACTTCAGTAAGCCACCAAGGTATTTGAAGAAAGGTGCAAAAAGTATATTTTATCAGCATTCAGAACTATGGATAAGTCCTGCTGAGTGCGAGTTCAAATAGTGCAGCATTTGATTTATTGCAAATTATATATTGATAGGTCGTATTTAGTGCAAGCCAAAACTGACTTAATGAGAGGCAAATACGCACAGTTGAGGCTAGCACATGCATCGTTGCATTTGGGTTTTAAATACTAACACTACATCATGTGTGCAAAACGGAGAAAAGGGAAGCTCTGTTTGAGAAAAGTACAAAAAGAAGAAGAGGCTAATTTTGAAGAGTTACAGCAGAATACAACAGAGAGCAGGTATGCTTTGAATATGGATTTATCCTCTAGTTTGTCCTTGTTCTTGTTTACTTGATTTTTTAATTTTTTTTAATTAATAAATCAGTATTCTTATCAATAGGAACATTTAGAATTTTTGTTTTTATTATGCTTTCTACTGTATATCTCCTGTGTGACTTTATTAAAAATACATTTCCAAATATATTCTTTTAATCTTTTATAGTTCATCGATAAACATATACAAATTTGTGTTTAAAAATGTTCACTGTCTATTTCCATCAAGCTGGAACCACATAACTTTCTTTGCCACAGAAATATCACTTTGAGTAATGCAAATCTGAATAATGGGACGTTTTTGTGGGATTCCTTAGCAGCACTAATCAAGACCTACCTTAAGCACGAGGGAGCCACAAGGTTACAGATTATATACTCTCTGCAATGACTTAGAAAAGCAGCGCAAGTTCTAAAATTATCTTTGCTGCAGGAATAGAGGATAACATCATGGGAGGAACCCTTCTGTGGTTTGATCTGGTGCCTCTTCATTCTGCTATTTTAAGGAGACCCCAAGCCTGTCTGTTCTACTGATACTAGCAACTTCTAACACAAGCAATGTCCTTTACTATCTCCCTATATACCTCTTTATAAGGACGTGGTGGCTCAGAGGCTAAGACGCTGAGCTTGTCAATCAGAAAGGTCGGCAGTTCGGCAATTCGAATCCCTAGCGCTGCGTAACGGAGTGAGCTCCCATTACTTGTCCCAGCTTCTGCCAACCTAGCAGTTCAAAAGCATGTAAAAAATGCAAGTAGAAAAATAGGGACCACTTTGGTAGGAAGGTAACAGTGTTCCATGCACCTTTGGCATTTAGTCATGCCGGCCACATGACCATGCAGATGTCTTTGGACAGCGCTGGCTCTTCAGCTTTGTAACGGAGATGAACACTGCCCCCTAGATCCGGAAACAACTAACACGTATGTATGAGGGGAACCTTTACCTTTTTTTATATACCTCTTTAAAGCACAGAAAAGACAGCAACCTGGTTTTTGTTATCTGTCACCTTATCCCCATCCTCCAACCTCTGGGGTCAACAGGCAGTTTCAGTTTGTCTTCTCTATATAATATGAACATCAGCATTAAAGGATAAACTATTATTTGTCCCATACACAAATCCTTTGCCTTCTCCAAATCGTTCGTCTTTACACATTTCCACCAGCATTGCCTGCATATTTACAAGCATAAGCATGAGGTAGAAGGCTAGAGATACATTTTCCTTCTAATGGAAACTTGAGTGCTGAGGCAGTAGAATTGTCTGCTCCATGTACAACATTTTTAATGTATTCATATAAAGGAAACAATAAGGGAGAATATTTGTAGCTCAGGGTTGAATTGACCGACCCACAGACGGAGCCACAGACAGACAACTCAACAGACAGACAGACAGACAGACAGACAGAGACAGAAGGACAGACTGACATGTGGACAGACAGAGGGACAGACAGATGGACTGAGGGACATAACAGACTCCAGTGCTAGTGATGATGTTATTTACTTTGGGTGCAATGAAACATTTGCAAGAAATCCAACTGCACCAAAGGACCCCTCATAAAAGAAACATTCATAATGATAAAGAGTTATGTATCTTATATTTATCCCTCTAATGGCTAATGAGAGTAATAGTGCCCACCTGCCTGACTGCCTTGTGTCTGTATATCCCTTAGTCCATTTGTCTGTCCCTCTGTCCGTCTACATATCACTCTGTCCTTCTGTGTCTCTGGCTGGCTGTGCAACTGTTTGTCGAGTTGTCTGTCTGTGGGTTCATCTATATGTCTGTCCATCTGTCGATCTTCATCCATCCATCCATCCATATGTCTGAGTGTTCGTCCTTCCATTTGTTCATTTTTTTGTCTGTCCATCCTTCCCTCTCTCTGTTTATCCTCCGGTCCATCCACATTGGTCTATCCATCTGTTCTTCGTTGCTGGTCCATTTATCCATCTGTCTGACTGCTATCCATCTGTTAAACAGTATGTTTGCCCATCTGTTTGCCTGTCCTCTTTTCAATCTGTCTTTTTGTCTGTTTGTCTGTCCATCTGTTGTTCACCTAAGTATCCATCCATCTGTTGCCTATCTGTCTGTCCATTAATCTGTTTGGCCATCCTGTCTCAAGTAGATGGATGGACAGACAAACAAAATATGGACAGACACATGGACATATGGACAGTATGTCTAAAACATATCCATCTGTCCACTGTCCACTGATGCAGTTTGTCCATCTATCCACTATCTCTTGCCTGTCTATCTATACTTTCTTCTCTTCATCTATCTATATGTCTGTTTATCTTGTCTGTCCATTTTTCTACCTGTCTGTCCTTATATTTCTCCAACTGTCCATCTGTCCTTTTGTGTGTCTGTTGGTCTGCCTGTCCATTTGTCTATCTAGCCAATAGCCTGTCCTTCTGTTCATCTGTCTCTCATCTGTATATCCATGTGTCTGTCTGTTCAACCTTCCATTCATTCTTCTGTCTCATTTATCATCTATCTGTCCATCCATCCTTCTGGCTGGCCACCTGTCCGCCGATCCTTCTGTTTGTGACTCTGAGCTGTCTGTCCATCCATCTATCTGAACTGGCCAGCTGACTGTCCATTTTGTCCATCTGTCATTCTGTCCATTCTTCTATTTGTTTTTCTATTTGTCTATCAGTGATGTTACTACTTGGGAAATTAAAAGCCTGCAAGCAATCAGCAAAATTCAGACAGAACCTCAGACAGGCCTCTATGGTTCAACCCTGACCTACATATATTCTCTTCAAATGGAGAGTAATAGTACCTTTCATCATAAAGAAAATCATGTTTTTACCTGCACAGAGTTGCCCATTATGTCGTTCACAGGCAACATTGTCACAGCTGCAGAAGGACCCACTTGGTAGGGTTAGAGCTTCTGAACCAAGTAATTCATCTTTCCTGCAATCACAACGCCGGCCAACATAGCCTTCATGACATCTAGAGAGGAGACAAAGAGCATTTCTAGTTAACTATTTACCCTATGGCTATTATTGAGTATTGTACCTTATGATCCTTGATTCTTGATGAATGTATCTTTTCTTTTATGTACACTAAGGGCATATGCACCAAGACAAATTCCTTGTGTGTCCAATCACACTTGGCCAATAAAGAATTCTATTCTATTCTATTCTATTCTATTCTATTCTATTCTATTCTATTCTATTCTATTCTATTCTATTCTATTCCATTCCATTCCATTCCATTCCACTCCACTCCACTCCACTCCACTCCACTCCACTCTACTCTACTCCATTCCATTCCATTCCACTCCACTCCACTCTATTCTATTCTAACTGTTGGCTTGAGTGGTTTCATCCTCACTAACTCCCTACATGCTGGCATAGCTGCAATCCTTCAATTATGATTGAAGCTGGGGTTAATCCTTATCTAGGCATTGATAGAAGAGGAGAGGAAAGGAAAGGAAAGGGGAACTCTGCTAATGCTGTGACACATAATTATTATAAATCAATCATTGTCTTTCAACCCTTCTTCAAGACTTTCACAAGAATGATCTCTGTAAGTTCTGAATTCATGTGGAACTAAATAAAATTCTCTTCCTTTTAAACTCAGAGAGATTTCTGAATGCAGTTGCTTGTTACAAATGTATGCTTGATATCTGCTCTTTGCTTTATTTTCCATTTTTTTACTTCAAACTCTTCTTCAGGTGGCACAATCAGGCATCTATCCACCTTCAAGGGCAATCCAAACAGCAGAATATTTAACAGACAGTTTCTGAGGACATACCTTTGAGCTTTCTTAGATCAGTTTAGGGGAAAAAAGATGACTTGTTAGGGAATGGAATAACATTCCAGAGGTCATGGATTTTGAGCCCCCTCCAGATTATCCCAAGGGAAACTATCCTTTTAAAAAAAACCCACACATTTCAATCCAAATGTTTAAATATATATATATATACCCCGATCTACATTTATTACAAAAATAAAAATAAACAAGGTCTCTGGCTAGATTTATGGGTGTAAAAAAGATTATATATATATCATATTACCATATCATATTTTTTTCTAGATGTGATCCAGATACTTTTTTCTTCACTGAATTTTTCAGTGAGAAGATAAATGTGAGGTCTGGAGTTGATCTGAACAACCACTTTGAAGCTGTTTGCAGTTTTTAAATTTTGATTGCACAAATTGCATTTGGTCAAAAAGAAGATTTAAGCAAAAAAAAGAAAGGAAGGAAGGAAGGAAGGAAGGAAGGGAGGGAGGGAGGGAGGGAGGGAGGGGGAGAGAGTGAGTGAGTGAGAGAGAGAGAGAGAGAAAGAAAGAAAGAAAGAAAGAAAGAAAGAAAGAAAGAAAGAAAGAAAGAAAGAAAGAAAGAAAGAAAGAAGGAAAGAAAGAGCTAGAAATAATATTGCTTGCCTGGTAGTTTAAGTGCTTCTTCTGAATAGGAACTGACATTTAGACATGAAGTTTTTATTTCTTTAGTCTTCTCAGAGAAGTTCTCTAATCAGGCCTTCCAGGAACACGCTACAGCAGGGGTGTCAAACTCAAGGCCTGTGAGCCAGATCTGGCCTGAGGGATGCTTAAATTTGGCCTGCAGGGCAGCTTGGAAATAGCAAAGGACTGGCCCGCGATGGCTCTGACAGCCAAAATGGGGTGTGTAGTGGCTGCGCATGTGTCCCATTTTCAGCCTGGACAGCCTCCTGCAGCATTTTGCTGGCCCAAACGGTGTTTTGTCCATCATAACTTCAAATGGTCACCAAGAGACCAGTCATAAGTTGAGGACTAACTGAAGATCATTTTTCCACTTCATGGAGGCAAAAGAGACTGTAAAATCAATATTACACTACTTTATTGCAATATTTCTGACCTGGACCTTATTCCAGACAAATGAAGGAAAAGGTTTTTTTGAGCATTTATTGCTCTGCAACAATAAATGTTAGTGAAATTTTCAATATATTTTCTGCGGTCGATAACCAATTTGGTGGTACTTATGGTGTCTAGATTGCAGAGTTCCATCATCACAATTATATTTTGAGGGAGAGGATGATATTCAGGTCATCGGTTAGTTTATTTTTTTAATATCAAATTTTATTAATTTTTATCAACATATAAGATACAAAGGAAAATAAAACGTAATGGAAAACTAGGGGAAGGAAAGGGGGAAAAGAGAAAATGTGAGGCGGAAAGGTAAAAAGAAGCAAAAGGCACTGACCTCCAACTCTCTTTGGCACAGTAGAAGATAATAACACTACAACCTCAACTTTTTACTTTTATACAATAGTATATACTAGCCAATTCTATAACAGCAGACCTATCTAATTAACAAAAACAAAAACATTTCATTTTTTCCCATTACAAGCACGAAGTTCAGAAGCAATTTCCAAATAGAAACAAAATTATATTCTCTTTTTTGGATAAAATAATAGATTTAACAATCTCTGCTTTTCTAAATTTTAAAACATTAACCTTTTCTTTAAAACTTCTAAAATCAATTTCTAACACATCTTTTTTTAAAACTTTACTCTTTTTTAACCTCCTCTTAACATACATACATTTAAATTCATGTTATGGTCATGCAATAAGAACTTTTTCTTTTCTTTAAAAATACTAACCATTGACTTCCGGTTTGCCAGGCTTCGGTGACAGCAGGGATTCGCGTTTCTCTGCGATCCCTGCTGTGCTAGCCGTCTTGGTGCCTCTGATCCTGACGGATCTGGAGGATAAGGCTGCCCTGTTGGGATAGCTGAAGATAGGGGGGATCCGGACAGGGGTTGAGGGGTATCGCAGACCCCCTCCCCAGCCGGCAGTAACCCCCTTTTCTCAAGGCGGTGGAGCGGCGGTCTTAATGGCCGCCACGAAGAAGCCGGCAACTGGATTAAGAATGTGCAGGAGGAAGAAGAAGGAAGTTTTAAAATGAAAGTTTTCTTGGCTGAACCAGGACTTTAAGGATATATCTAATGCCTGGAAAATTACTATTTTTTTTTTGGATGCTACAATGTCTCTAATGGAAGTTTTCAGCGGCGAAGGAAAGTGTTGAAAGAGAAAGTTACTCTCCCTCCCTTATGGAACTAACAAATGGACATGGAAAATCTGCTCTCTAACAGAAGGTAAAAATTTAAAGCCCTTTGTTACAAGTGGGAAGGGAGAGGCTTGGGAAAAAAAAATACTAACCATTCATATTTTTGAATTTAATTTAAATAATTTCTTACAAACTTTGGGAGTTTTTTAAACAGGGTGACTTAAATTCAATGATTAATCAGACTTGGGATGAATTTTTACAAGTCTGAACATATGTCTTGAAATAAAGTTTCAATGTAGTATTGCATTTATAGAATGGCTTTGTAAATGTTTGTTTTTTGTATTTTTATATAATACTAGCTCTATACCCGTGCTTTGCTACAAAATTATGTGGTTGGGCTAAGTTTTGAGGGAGGAAAATAAGGGGGAGGGAATTGTGCTCTGCCTACCAGCATCCATCAGTATTTATCTGGCTAGCATCCTGTCAATGTGAGAGAGAGTTGAGGGCTGTTTGGAAACTGAAACATGGAAACTGAAACAGTATTTGCTGTGTGAGCAAGAAGGAGACAGCAAGGAACCGTATTTGCTGTGTGAGCAAGGAGACAGCAAGGGACCTGGACTTGGCTTAGCTCAAGTGTTCTGTACTAAAGCTGGTTGCTGCTGTGAAAGTGAAAGTGAAACTCCTCTCCTCTGCTTCTGTTTTGCATTTGGAACAGATTTCTTGTCAGGTGGGGAGGGGGAGTAGAACTCCTTAGCATCACAGCTAAGTTAATAATAATATACGAAATATGAATGCTCTGATGGTCATTTCGAAAAATCCTTTCTTAGTGAGCACCTAAAAGCCAAGAGGAACATAGATGCCAAATTTCACGTTTGTAGGCTTTATGATACTGGAGATTTTGTGATGATGCATGACTGGTATTTTGCTTTTATATATATAGATTTGAATAACTCCCAAGATCATCAATCATCTTTCTGGTGCTGGTAAGAGTATCACAGTTAAGGGATAACTTCAGGTGTGGTATTCAAATGTTTTTACTACCAGTTCTGTGGGCGTGACTTGGTGGGCATGGTGTGGCTTGGTTGGTGTGGCATAGCTTGGTGGGCGTCGCCTGGTGGGCATGGCAGGGGAAAGTTACTGCAAAATCCCCATTCCCTCCCCACCCTACTAACCTGCTTTCCAGCTCCGTTCTCCTGTGCAAGGCAACAAAAGAAGACCCAGCCGATCAGCTCGGGAGGAAGAGAATAGATGGGGGCGGGGCCAGTCAGAGGTGGCATTTGTCGGTTCTCTGAACTACTCAAAATTTCCACTACCAGTTCTCCAGAACTGGTCAGAACCTGCTGAATACCCACCTCTGGATAACTTCCTTGTTAAAGAAGGAGTGTCATCTCGTTCTACCATCTGTTACCTTTTATCTGATTTTTCCTTTTCTGTTATTCCCCGTGGTTTACTTTTCCCTCTGTTCATTTGTATAATTTTAATTATACAAAATTATAATTGTATAATTTTCCTCTTCTCACCCAAACTTACAAAATGTTGTAGGATGGTGCCGAGGGGCTGCTGATACAGGAATTAAAACAAGAGCAACTTAATCCTGAAAGGAGATCACAGTCGTATGGTGGATATCAGAGAGAAATGAATGGTGCCTCATCTGAGTCTGGCTATGGGCCGCTCAAGATGTTCCAACTTAGGCCTGGGGAAACTGAGAATTCTTGACTCTGGAGAGAATTCTACATCAAGGCGGGGCCTTTCAGTCAGTCTTGACTGCTGTGTGGACAAGTCCATGCAATTTTCATGGCAGTGTGTTTGGAGGTACTACGAACCCTATCACTGATATATTCCTATGATATTTTTAATTTTACTATCAGCCCATCACTGGAGTGAAGTAAAGTTTCCTTGACTCCCAGTAACTTTGGGACACATCAATGGCAATCAGAAAGATTTTGCTATTGGGTGTGTTTTGTTTTGTTGCCTTCCCAGCAGTGGTGGGATTCAAAAAATTTTACTACTGGTTCTGAGGGCGTGGCTTGGTGGGCGTGGCAGGGAAAGGTTACTGCAAAATCTCATTCCCTCCCCATCCCACTAACCTGCTTTTCAGCTCCATTCTCCTCTGCAGGGCAACCAGAGAAGACCCAGCCAATCAGCTGCGACTTGGGAGGCAGAGAAGAGATTGGGGAGGGGCCAGTCAGAGGTGGGATTGGCTGGTTCTCTGAACTACTCAAAATTTCTGCTACCGGTTCTCCAGAACTGATCAGAACCTGCTGAATGCCGCCTCTGCTTCCCAGGCTAAATCGGTAGCCGCTCCTCCTAGTAGTTACTAGATCTGTTTCTGCCTAGCCTGTCAAGATCTTTGACTTTTTAAATTTATTTAATTTAATTTGTCCATCACTTACAAGATAACAGGTATAAGAATAAACATAGTGATGAACACATGAAATGGATACATATAAGAAAAATAAAAGAAACAATAGTATAGGGACGGTAGGCACGTTGGTGTGCTTATGCACGCCCTCTACAGACCTCTTAGGAAAGGGGTGAGGTCAATAGTAGACAGTCTAAGGTTAAAATTTGGGGTGGGGGGTGGGGAAGAACCCACAGAGTCAGGTAGAGTATTCCAGACATTGACCCCTCTGTTGCTGAAGTCGTATTTCCTGCAATCAAGTTTGGTGCGGTTTATCTTGAGTTTGTATCTATTGTGTGCTCTTGTATTGTTATGGTTGAAGCTGAAGTATCCATTGACAGGTAGGACATTGCAATGTAGCATGACACAGCAAGGCAGCTTTTAAGAAACACAGTGAAATAAATCAGATAAATACCTGCAAATGCCACAGGTGAGGTTGCCATGTCCACCAGAGCAGTGGTGTGCATCAGGCTGGGTGTCTCCACATTGGCAGTCACAGGTTGTTGACACCTCTACATGGATCTCCTCTCCCACTCCCAATACTCGCAACACCAGCTTCTGGGATTCAGGTAGGCAGGTGGTTGCCATTACCTTCACTGTAAATTGCACCTTGGGAAGATAAGTGAATGAGAGGGGCTCCATCAACTTCCCTAAGTGATAAATCTGTGACAATCCAGATGTTGCCAAATCCCAGATGCCAGCATCCCTCTACCCATGCTTAGTCTGCGGGAGCTGTAACATAGCAACCTCTTTGAGAGCCTCTTCAGAGACATACTTGGAGCCTTCAGAACAGTGGTAGGATTCAAATTTTTTTACTACCGGTTCTGTGGGCTTGGCTTAGTTGGTGGGTGTGGCTTGGTAGGCATGGAAGGGGAAGGACCCTGCAAAATCCCATTCCCTCCCCACCCCACTAACCTGCTTTCCAGCTCTGTTCTCCTGTGCAGGGCAACAAAAGAAGACCCAGCTGGGATTCGGGAGGCAAAGAATAGATGGGGGCAGGGCCAGTCAGAGGTGGTATTTGCTGGTTCTCTGAACTACTCAAAATTTCCGCTACCGGTTCTCCAGAACTGGTCAGAACCTGCTGAATACCAGCTCTGCTTCAGAAGCTCTTGACTTAAATACTCACCAATTGGTTGACAGACACGTCACTGCATTCTCCACCCTCTGTCTGCCCATAGGTTTCTGTGTCCCCACAATGGGAGTCATAAGCAATGGAGATCCCAGGTGGAAGGTCTGAGAAATGTCCCAGTTTCACTGTGGAGGCAAGACTCTGTGGAGAGATGAATAGAATCTGTTGTGAGTAGGCTTATGACTTGAATGGTACAACGCTGCAAAGCAAGGCCAAAAAGAAGAATGTTTACACATGCTCTTACTAGCAGACACAGTGATTAGGGAGAGCCTGTGCTTCAAAACTCAGCTCAGTTATTTGCTTTAAGAAAGCCGCAGTTTACTTCTACCATGGGAGCATCAACTTGACTACTAGGCAGCAAATATGATTGGGATGATGTATATACCATCAGAACAAAATGAGATAAAATTATTAAAAGTTACCAAAACAGAAACGGTATACCAAATATTAGCCCCTCTGTGTTGCAGGAGCTTAGCATAGCATATAGTAAATATGGCTATATAAGGTATCCTGTCAGACACGAATGATCAGGTTTGATGTGAAGGTTCTATGAAACTGATTTATTGCTAATTGTGTCTATGCATAGAAATTTTCTCAGCTAACAGCACATGATTGGAATTAGATAAGGGGCCAATGGGATTTGGGCTTAGTTCATTTGGGCTACATAGGGATTCTAGGCTGATCCCTCTTTTAACCCTACCCTCAGCTTCTGCCACTCCTTCTTCTATATATCTCTCTCTCTCTCTCTCTCTCTCTCTCTCTCTCTCTC